GCCAACCTCAGAAAAGGACCAAAAGGTTTCTACACTTCTCTTTTTCACTACTTTTGTAGGGTCGACTCAACTCAACTCAACTCAACTCGAACAGTAGCATATTATGAAATATGTAATATTCATTATTGTCTAGTATAGTTTTATGGGTGTTGCTGGAGTAACAGGGGCTGGCCGCCCCCCAACAGAACCCCACCAATAGGGGGTGGGGCCCTTTTTTTGGCGCAGGACCCAACCCAATTGGTGGGGGTTCTGTCGATCTCCCCCTGTTACACCAGAAATTTCCTTATTTGTTTTTTTCCCTGTTTTACTAATCATAATCCCAAAAACTGGGGAAAAAGGTATCATCTTCTCTCTCTTGTGTAAGTCACAAATCCCAAAAACTGATAGAAATATGAATCAAAATGTTGTATTTTTCTGATTTTATGAGTGATTCTATGATTTTTATTCTGACACACACACACATGTTACGGTAATTATACTGTTACTTGTGATTTATATTAGAATCATGCTATATGTATAATTTAGTTTGACTATTCACATTTTACGTCACATTCTTTCATTTCAAAAACTGTTTTTTAAATTAATAACCCAAATTTTGACGGCACCAATTTAGGTAACAATAGAGCGACAATAACATTGTTTAAGGGACGACTAATGTCTAGACAAGAGCTAATCATCATGGTGATACATATCTTTATTTTTCACATGTTATCTGTGTATATAGGAAGAGAACGTGGTGAGTATAGGGTTATAAACCTATATAGAAAGGAAAACATTAGTGTCAATTATAAAACAACTCCGTTACAAACAAAAACGAAAAGGTAAATTGCGCGATCGGTCCCCATGATTTGATATTGGTCATGTTCAGGTCCTAAACATTTTTTTTTGGCAATCTAAAATGAGAAAAAAATGCATCAAGAGTTAAATGCAAACCAAAAAAAGGTTAAAAGCCCATACACCATCGTACCTATATGTTGGTTGTATGTTTACGATTTACCCTATAAATTGTCATATAAAATTATGAAAATACCGCATAGATTTTGGAAATTTTCCATAGTTTCAGCAGATATTGTTATGTTATATATATAATTTTTACTGTACTGATATCTGTGTAAATTCGCAATTAATTCAGAATTTATTAATCTTGAAGCTAATGATATATTTTTTTATTTTTTTTGGCTGGTCACAGACATTGAGACGTTTGGCTCAGAATAGGGAAGCTGCAAAGAAGAGCAGGATTAGAAAAAAGGTGGGGGTACCAATTTCTCATTAGAACATTTGAAATGGACTAATATGAAAATTTTGAACTGTTTTTCAAATCATATAAAGTTTAAATTTTATTATTATTATTATTATTATTATTATTATTATTATTATTATTATTTATTTATTGATTTTGGGTTCAGGCCTATGTACAGCAGCTAGAATCAAGTAGGATAAGGCTCAGCCAGCTAGAGCAGGAGCTTCAAAGAGCACGTTCGCAAGTAAATAAAACATTTAATTTCTAGAAATAAAAATTAATGATGCTATTCATTTTAATGTCCTACAATGAATTTTCTGATTTTTAAAAAATAATTTTCTTAATTACTGTGATGAACTGCAGGGAATTTTCATAGGAGGAGGTGGGGGTGCTGGTGGGAACATTAGTTCTGGTAAGTCTAATTCTTTGTGATCCATTAGAGAAGATAGTGTCGTGGGTCTTTTTAGGGTCAGTTTTGACTCAGAAAGATTAATGCCTTTTACAGTAACCATACAAATTTAAAGCATTTTACTTCGAAAACGCTTTTTTCCGGGGGGGAAAAAATTGGAGAAGAAGAGATTTTCACCTAATGACTGAACTTTTGACTTCAGGCAACATCCTTTAATCTGAATCCTCTGAAAATTCAAAATTCGGTCAAATTAAGGAACAACAAATTTCAAAGCTGATTATTCTTGGGTTTCTAGTTGAAAAAGAGATGGAATAATTTCTGCATTTGACTAAAATATGTCCACTTAAGCTATCATCAAATGTCAATTACCTATTCAAGAAAAAGAATATATATTTTACTTTACGTGGTCAGAACATGCGTCCTAGATTTTTTCAAACTTGTGGTTTGTCTAGTTAGAACCAATAAAAGATTACAATTACACAGTTTAATATCGTTCAAGAAAAATATATATAGTTGTTCTATGTAGGAAGACAACTAGCCTTATACTACAATTCATTTCACCGGAGCTTAATTTTCTCTATTTGGCATGTGTCGTTTCGGTTTAATATGAAATTTGCAAATTTCACCTAACAAGGTAAATTGGCATAGGAAGCCCCAAAAAGCAAAAAGAATTAAGTAAATGACATTATAAAGGTTGAATCTCAACCTTGAGAGTTTCCACCGCTCCACTCCTAGAACTTTGTGAGAGAAGTAAAAACGTGGGATGTGCCTAGCAAGCCAAGAAACAAGAGCTGCATGTACACTGTCCCTACAAGGAGTCCAATTTCATATCTCAGGAATCGAACCTTCACACTGCGACTGCCAACAAGGCGTGAGATAATTTCACTCCTATCCTTTGCACCACTGTGCTATGCCCTCGGGGGGCAAGTAAATGACATTATAGACGATACTAAAACTTGTCTCTTTGACACTTGGTATGGACTGAACAATAGTTTTTGAGGGGCAATGATAATTTTAGAAAAAACATCACGTTGATGTCTTGTACCAATTCTTAGAACATTCATGACATGAATATATAACTGGGCAATATATTGTTTATGTTATTGTAGGTGCTGCAATATTTGATATGGAATACGCAAGATGGTTAGACGATGATCATCGGCATATGACAGAAATTCGAACAGCATTGCAAGCACAATTAGCAGATAATGATCTGAGGGTAATATTAGATGGATACATAGCACATTATGATGAAATTTTTCGTCTAAAAGGAGTGGCTGCTAAATCTGATGTCTTTCATCTCATAACCGGAATGTGGGCTACTCCGACTGAACGTTGTTTTCTGTGGATGGCCGGTTTTCGTCCGTCTGACCTCCTCAAGGTTCAAATTCACTTTACTATTATTTATCTGCTTGTATTACCACTATTTGTTTTTGTGTACCGATCATTAGTATTTGGTACCTCGTGACTTGTATGGATGAAACATCTAATTCCAGTGGTAACTAGACAAGTCATTTTCCCTCCCGGAACAAATTTACAACAAGTGAATTAAGCACTCTACGTGTGAGGTTCACACACCACACGTGCATAACACTCGGCATATAGTCAACATCTGGTAAAACAAATAGACTTTTAACTTCTTTTTCTTATCTATATCAAAATTGCATATAAGGCCATTACTCATGCATTCAAGACTAATTGTTTCGCCATTTCAGTTTATTCTAATTACGTCGTCTTTCCTTTGTGATTTTGACGATCAGATGTTAACGGCACAATTAGACCCCTTAACAGAGCAGCAACTTATGGGGATTTACAGCCTCCAACGGTCGACAGAACAAGCAGAAGAGGCTCTCTCTCAGGGATTGGAACAGCTACAACAATCTTTAACCGATACAATAGCCGGTGGTTCCATTAATGATAGCATGCACCGCATCGCTGTTGCACTTGGCGAGCTTACGAATCTTGAAGGTTTCGTCCGTCAGGTAAATTGTGTTACATATTGTAAGCACATAATCTAACGGACATTAATGTCCGTGTTAGATTTTTCATTTGTCACGTCATGTATGAAGGTGGATGTAGTCATGTAGTGATGTGAGAGAGACAAAAAGATACTATAGGTTACTAAGTTGAAATGAGAAAAAGTTGGGTAATCAAAGTGAAAACTTATAAGTTTGGAGACTTAACAATGATTTTATCCCTAAACATATTTAACTATATTGTCTTCAACACGCCTTCAAATTTAGTCTTGATTCCCGACATGTGAGATTTTACAAGTTAGTGACACTAGACTTGAATTTTGAAATTATGCATGCTTCAATATATGTTGAAAACATTTAGACGAGCTACTTCAAAACCAAGACGATTACATGTTCAAATGTTAGAAATTTTATATCTCGGTAGTTTTCATTGGTTTAGGTCGACCATATAAAATAATACAGTATGCTTTCATGTATTTTACTTATTTTTGCATCATTTTTTTTTTATATTATCACTAACCAAACTCAGATCACTATCATTATATATATATAAAACTTTTGTCATTATTAAGCATTTTATTTTAGAAATGTCTATTTTTGATTAAATTGATGGGTGTTTCTTCTTAAGCCTTGTTTGAAAGTGACGCATAATCAAATAAAAGCCCTCGCTAGACCTATCAGAAGACTTTTATTAAATGCAAATTTGCGAATAATGTCAATAAAAATAATTGAAAACTTGGAAAAATAACCTTTACTTTTAAATCAATGATTACAATAGTCCAAATATTGAGTTTTCAACCCCTTAGAAAATTTATTTGGAGCTTTCTCATGCATTACGGTACACGGTCCATGTCAATTTTTATTTGATAGTTACGGATTAATTAATACAGAGAAAAGTGATTAATGTAACAGACGTTATATTTATTGTGAACAAGACTTAGTTTGTTTTTATATAAATTCACACGAGTTTTGTACTTTTGGCCCTTACCCAATTTCGATCACTTGATAGTTAGGGATTAATAAAACTTGATATTTAAGGATTTGAAATAAATGATTAATGTATCTAAAACTATATATAATAAGAATAAGACTTATTGTTATTGTATCAATGTACATGAGTTTATGCATATTTGTGCTTTATGGTCCTCCTCAAGTTTCATTGATAGTTTCTGTAAATTTTGAATTATATAGGCTGATAATTTAAGACAACAAACCCTTCATCAATTGCACCGAGTATTGACAGTTCGACAAGCGGCACGATGTTTTCTGGTAATGGAGGAGTATTATGGTCGATTACGAGCCCTAAGTTCCCTATGGGCATCCCGTCCAAAAGAGTAAGATCAACTTACACCACTATACCTATATGTTCGTATACTTCTCCATTTTATCTAGTTATCAATCATTATCTTAATTAATTTTTTTCAGGACCTTAATCGGGGATGGTATTTCTTGCCAAACCACCACGGATTGGCAGATGTTACTATCATCTCAAAATCATTTCTCCAACTTCTAATATGTCCCCAAAACTTGATCATGATTGGATCAATGGCATATTTCTAGCATCGGGGTTCTTCGGCTACTATACCACCGCTAAATGAAATTGGAGGGAAGTTGAAGATTTATTCTATACCAGATAAGTTTCAACATGGAATGGGGTTGACCATATATTTGCATGTACCCGCGCTAGCATTTATTAATCATATAAGTAGGTCTTCATACGAAAAACTATAACTAAGACCCTTTTTATATGACATTAACTTGGATCCAGATGAGACTTTTTCTCTTGTACTTTTGTCTTGAAATTTTATTTTTTTTACAACGTTTTCTTTTTAATTTAAATAAATTTTATGTGCATAGCGACCTTCCGCTGTACAAAAGCATGGCATATACCATGTTACATTGTGGGGTGTGTGTTGACTGGGGTACGTGTTGGTATTATTGGAGTCCATTTATGTAAATTAAGTGGTTACTATGGAACTAATTTTAATCATAAACAGCAAAGGTACATTAACTTTATTGAAGGGAATATTATGGTTGCAGTTCCTATTCTTTGAAAAATGCAGTATTTGAGTTCTTAGTCAAAATTTTGAGGCACGAGTGCCATATTTATCAAGAAATGGAAACTGCAGCCGTAAATTTTTCTTTGCTTGAGTATAAAATTTTCTATAGCTCTCATAATAATGTTTTCGAGTAACCATTACTAAGAAAATGTGGTGTTATGAATTGCACCGAGGGATAAAATATCTAAATATATGGAAAAGGATCGAACTTCTTGTAGTAATTTTTTGGCCCTTGATTAAAATAAACAAAGGATAATTATATTCAAATGGTATATTTAATTTGTTGCAACAAATTTTACTTGCACTTAAGATCTTCAATCTTCGTTCACTGTAGCACTTATGCCTCCAACTTTTTTCAAATTGCATTCATATCTCTTCAACATTTATCTGATTAATAGACTAGTCTTCAATAATAATTTTTGACCAAAAAGTCTGTAAAGAGAAAGTAAAATGATTTATTTGTCCACCATAGTTAAAAAAAAAAAAATTTAAATACAAAAAAAATACACAAATAGAACTATCATCAACGGCGAGATGTGATAATTCATGGGAGGGTGAAAAATAAGAATTTGAAGGAGAAAAAAGTTAAGAGCGCAAGTGTTACAATGAATGAATGTCGAGAGCCTTACATACAATTAAAAATTGGTACAACAAATAATGTAACCACTCATCAATTATCCTTCACATTTAAAATTTGACGGGGGACTAGATTATCATTGTAAAATCCCCTAACAAGACCCTGCTCCCTATCACAACTTCCTTTCCAATTAAGATCACCAACGAACAATGGATCCTCAATTAATCGAAACGAAACAATATAGTTAAGCTCCTTTTGTCAATATTAAAGGCGCATTTGGTATGACTTCTACTTTTTTTAAAAAGTCATCTTAATTAGTGTTTAAAAACTAATTTCTAAAAGAATTCTCTCTTTGAAATAGTTTTTTTATGAAGAAATCACACTGGACATACCTTATATAAAATATTTTCTAACTCAAGAAAAAACTTTTTAAAATTGGTTAAACGATTCAAAAGTAACTTTTGAATTCTCAAAACTTATTTTGATTTCTTAAAAGCCATGCCAAACAAACCATAAGTTCTACTTGCATATTAGACGTACCATTATTCACTTAGAAAGAAATATATAATAAGGGACGTTTCGGTCTTAAATGTACAGTGTATAATGCATTATGTTTCTTGCAATAATTTTCTTCCCGTCAGTTTTCAAAGTTCAAACTTTTTTTAAAACGTAGCATGTGGTCGTGTGGACCTTAAGGCCCCTTTGCCTATTAAGATTTTGTACCATGCCACTGTAATCACAAGACAAGAAGACATCTATTAAATGCAAGATTAGGAATTTATATATAATATTAATACATTGTCCCCTAAGCTTTTGGCGCTATAGTAAAGGAATAAATTTTGTTATTGTCACGCTTCTTTTGCAAATATTATTTTTGATTATTGGGTACAATATGACCATTATTTTACTATTTAAATAATACGTCGTTTTACAAATTAGGTTTGCCTAATCAAAGTGTAATGATAAAGTTTAAAGTTGAGAAGGAACATTTCATTCTGTCTTGTTTTTCTTGTCTTTTGATAAGATGCATGTTTAGTTATGATAAAATCTCGCTTTTTATTTGAGCTAATGGATATCCTTCCTTTATTTTATTTATTTATTTTTTTAATATCATACCAAAACACGAACCAATTTGTCAGGGCTCTTATTATCTCTAATCGACCTCTTGAAAACTATCGTAATTGAATAATGAAATTGAATAGTGAATATAGTAGAAAAAAATTAGCGTTCTTTCTATTAATCATATAAATGGATCGCTTCATAAAATCCAACATATAATTCAAGTGATTTAATAAGGTTAATCGAACATTGTATATAGTCAACTAATGGATCTTGAAATTCAAGTCCATTTACTTCATTTTAAATATAAACTTTTTTCATATCATCTGTGTTTGATTTAGCTAAAAAATAGATTTTTTATACTAGAATTTAATGAAATTTGAAGGAATGTGTGACCGAAAAATTGTGGACTCATAATAATGTATAGTTAAAATTAAGGCTAAATATATTCATACTACAGTTTTTAATAATTAGACTATATTTTAATTGCACGAAATTAACCTTTACATATTATCATACTTATATCTCAATCATTTTTTATCGCATTTTTATTCTCAAATTAACATAAATTGGGTTTTATTATGATTTCTCTCCAATTTTTTTCTTAAGATTTAGCTCTCGTTTGGCTCCCATTATTTATCATTTTAATTTTTGGAATAATGTTTTCTTGAAGAATGTGTGATTGATAAGAAAAGAGAGAAAAATCAATTATAATTTTAATGGGGGCCAAAAAGATTCATTTATCCATTTTAATTTTAAATAAGAAAAATAAATAATAATGTAAAAATATGATTAAATATTTGACCCTTATTTTAAAGCACGTGAACAATATTTTTGGACAAAAATTACGATTAACGATAAGATTTTCAGATCAATGAAATATTAAAAATAAGAATGTGATGGGAAAAAAAAACTTAAAAATACAAGCGTGATAATAAATAAAGATTAATGATCTTTAATTTAACTTAAATCTTAATCAATTTTTTAGTCGGATCAAGCAAAACCATAATGTATATTCTTTTATTTAACAAATCGTCCTCGACTAACCTGATTGCAAAATCTCACCTTATATTGCATATAAAAATGCCAATTGACTTGTAAAACATATCATATATAATGCTACAGTAGTTTTTTTATTATAAAAAATAATTTAAATTAATAAATTATTCAATCAGATTTATATCAGATACTTTTAAGTAGGTAAGCATTAAATTACCGACACAATATCAGGTAGGAAATAGTGTATGAGGCGTGCTTGTCATTGTTTCTATTTATCATTTTGAACACTACAATGTACGCATCATATTCATTGCTGGTAGTTGACATCGTTTATTTTATTTTAGATTTTGTTTTCTCTTTCAATACTAAGTACGGGTCGTTGTAAGGATGACAATAAATTGAGTCAAACTAGCTCGATCCTTAAACACACGAACTGTACTCACATTCAAAAATTCTACTAGGTTCGACCCTTTGACTTGTGGACCGATCGATCAAGAGAAGGAAAAGAGCTAATGACACTGACTCTAATGTTGTGTGTGTTGGAATATCATTACCAAACGATCAAATGAATTTGACTTTAGAGCAGTGGCGAATCCAGAAGTTTAAGTCAGTACGGGTGGCCGTTGGCCGTTGGCCTCAATAAAATATTAAAAGTTCTTTTGGTATCCATTTTTTTTTTTTTTTTTTTTTTTTTTTTTTTTAAAAAAAACTT